TATTATTATTATTATTATTATTATTATTATTATTATTATTATTATTATTATTATTATTATTATTATTATTATTATTATTAAAATCACAGAAGTTAATGTCAGAGTGGAGGCAAATTTTGGATAATCTTCTCATCATTTCAAAGAATTCAATTTACAGCTTGGTAAGAGCGCAAAATTTAAAGACTGAATGCAATGCCAAACTGTGGAAGACTGAAAAATCAAAAGATCATTTCTTCGTGGTCATATGGGAAAAAAGAAACTAGCACACAACCTGAAGGCCAATGACAAATAACCAATGTTTCCTCTAAGCTGTATAGTAGTGCAGTACTGTATTGATGCTGCATACCTGCAGTGTCACCCATTTGGTCCAGTCATGGTAGGAACTTTGTGCATGTGGGGCTGGGTTTCTGCTCAGTGTTGGTGGAAAATTAGAGGGAATGTTGCACATAACTACTGTGTATTTTATATATGAATGGGATCCAATATGATTGAAAAAGCAGTAGTGCAGATAGTTTTACTGAAAGCAAATGGAATAGAAAAAGCAGATTTGCTGGATTGAGGATGGGATTATAGTTCAAAATAAAAGAGGATACTCTATTGAATGCTCAAAGATTACAGGAATAAATAAACAAGTCAGGAATTATTGGAATGCAAAAATACTGCTGCTGTATTAAGTACAACAGTCCTATGCTTCCTTTCAAAAAAGTAACATCTACGTGTCACAATGTTTAGGGTTACTAAACATATACAGTACGTAGTTTCCTTGCTATTATATCTAGTGAAATGGAACAAGAATAGGAAGGTTTACAGAATGGTAACAACACAACAAATATCCTTTAACAATATAGGGTAAAAGACAGAGGCTGCTGGTGTGTCAGCCACAACTGTCTATTCATTTACTCAATTTATTGAGTGCTTGAAGCACTATGGGGCAATATATAAGCAGCACACTCTTTTTTTGCTTTTGCATTCATATAGTAAATACAGAATATTCAAATTGGTGTCAACTCACCAAAGAACAGAGAGACACAGTGAGTGAGTGAGTGAGAGAGAGAGAGAGAGGCCAGGACTCCATCATTAAAAGGGCAAAAAAGAAGTCACTAATGGAAAAGAAAATCCACAATATCAGAAAATGATTGTTGTTGTTCATGAAGGTCTACCATTATATGCATTTCCTTCAAATAGTCAATAAATTTCTATTAGAAACTATTACCATAGATGTTGCAGACACTCAGAGCTGATAATGAACTAGACAAATAGAAATTAATCAATGTATCTGTCCCTTTTCTGAACATTCTGAATTTTTTAAAATTGTTATTATGCTATTCTGATGTTACTCTGTTAGCCACCCAGAATAGTGGCTCTACTAGTAGTTGGGTGGAAGAAAGAAAGAAAGAAAGAAAGAAAGAAAGAAAGAAAGAAAGAAAGAAAGGAGAGACAACAGTCAGAACTCCACTCTAGTATAGTAGTAGAACTATTCTACCACTTCAGCCAAACAAAACATTGCCCAAATACTTGCATCACCTTATGTGGTATTCTGGTCACTCCACAATATTATCACTATTAACACAGCTCTGTGCTCGGTGAAATTTTTATACTGTACTTTAAAGTTATATGTTTAACTGATTTTTCAACACCTCATGGATCATTGATTCATGTTTGCAGAACAAAAATCCCTGAAGAGAAAAAAAATGCACAGTACCATTTTGCTAGTAGGACAGAGGTGACATCCCCTGTGGATGGGTGACTATACCATGACAAGGCAATGCTGCTTTGGTGATTTTCAATAATCAACTGTTTAAAGACATGTTACAACATCTGGTTTAGAGCATACATGTTTCTAACGTAATCTCTAACTTCAGAGCAGTAAATCAATTGATGTCATTAAGCACAAAAGTACACACTACTTACCAAACAAATTGCTTGAGTGTCCTTGTTTCGATATGGGTTTCAATTCATTTAATCCCCAAGCATAATGCTTATAATTATCCCAGGCATGTTTCATCATCTGGTGGGAAACGAAATCAGGATTATAATGTTGATTTAGTAAGAAATGGTTTTGGTAAATACTAGCAGAAAATATACTGTACTCCAAGGATACATGCGTTTAATTCAGTGGCTAATTAAATCCATATCATAATATAGGCATAATGCTTTAATATTAAGCATTATTAACAGCAGCAGCATGTTGCACATGTTGCTGTTGTACTATTTTTAATTATAGCAGTGGGCCCACTGTTACACAATTCCATTCTTTTCTGCTAATTAGCTGTTTGCAATACATACCCATTAATTCTCATTAAGTCATTTAACTAAGAGTTTATTAATCCAATTATAATTTCTCTTTAAGACAAGAGGCTTCTGAAGCTAGTATAGCAAATCTCAGGTATTTTCTCCATTTACAACAGACATTTGGGAAGTTATGTAACTCAAATCTGATGTCTGGCAGAAGCTACTAATTTTCTTACAAGCTAGCTGACTGAAGGAACTTGTTTATATGAAAAGAAGGTTTATAAAGAAAACTGGTATACCAGTGGCAAGATATACCTATTACTATGCATGAGAGCTTAAAATCAGGTTATATAAAAGGTTGAAGTACTATGTTTTGTGATATAATTAATAATAATTGCATGGTATCAAGTTAATTCTGACTTACGGTGACCTTTTCCAGGGTTTTCTAGGTAGAGAACACACCAAAATGGTTGAATGTTCCCTTCTTTTAAGTACATCCTGAGACTATGCAGCTTGCCAAAGGACACATAGGGTGGATCGTCTCCTGGGACGCATAGTGGGGAACCAAATTCCAGCCTCTGTCTCCACAACCAGATACCTCAAACACTGAGCTATTCAGCCAGCTTTTGTGATATAAGATGTCAATATACAGTTTTAAGGCAGAGATCTGGATGCAAATATGCAGTAGCTTCATAAAGTTTTTGCTAGACAAAAATTTTGGAATATGCTGTACCTCCGTTTTATGAATATTTACTGCTCTCTCAATTTTGAATTGTATGTCAGTGAAACATCTATGCAAAATTATTAGCCAAAGAGTTGCTTACTTACAAGGCACATTCTAATTTCGGAATGCCAAATAATAATATCCTGAAATACATACTAAAACTAGATCTGCAATGACATGGACTGAGCATCCTCATACAAATATAAAACTCGGTCCCTATTAGGGTACCAACTGTTGGCAGCCATAGGCCAAGCTCAGAACCTGTCAAACAGGAAACAGATTGAAACCAAGATACTAATAGACAACCATTAATATCTGTACATCTGTACATATACTAATGGACAGCCATCAGAAGGTAATAAGGTAAATCATTTCCAGGGGGTGAAAATTAAAGCTATGATCCACAAGCCAATCAAAACTTTGATTCAAGCCCATCCATTTTCAAGAAAATTAAATGAGCACACATCCAAAAAGACTTACATAACTGCCTAGAGAAGATAACAAAACAGATAAATTGTCTCACCTATACAGTATTTACAATTGGGAGGGCCATTTTGTTGTGCTTTCAATTTCGTCTGAAGAAATCACCTTTCCTTAAGATTTTGTACTCTTAATGAATCATTTAACCATTTCAATGACAAAGAAAAGAGACAAGATGCCTACTTATTCTAATGACTGCTGACTGTCCCTGGTTACAGCGAGTATATAAATCTCTTATTATAATACTTCCGCTGGTTGCCAATCTGCTGCCAGACCCCATTCAAAAGGATTGCTAAGACCTATAAAGCCATATATGACATGGGCCCAGGCTATCTGAAGGGCCATATCATCCTATAGAAATCTCCCTGGGTTTTAAGACTGTCTGGGGATACCCTTCTTCCAGTCTGACCACCCTCCTCACAGGCTCACTTGGTGAGGATGTGACACTGCTTTTTCAATGGCTGTTTCCAGTTGTGCAATACATTTCTTCAGGAAGCCAGGTTGGTCCACTCTTTCTGGCCCTTCCATCATCAAGGAAAGACCTTCTTTTTCAGGCAGGCTTAAAAGGGATAAATAGAGGTCTAAGGATGCTGCATCTATTCAATTAAAGAATTTAAAGAATGCTTTTAAAGTGTTTCTTATGGTAGTTTTTCATATTGTTATATGTTTTCTTGGTTCCTCGTGTCATCATGATGTTTTAATTGGGATTATTGTGTAGTTTTAACCAATTGTGAGCTGCCTTGAGTCCCCTATGGTGGTACATAAATAAATGATAATATACTTGCGAGGAACCTAAAAAGCTTCCAGTGAGTCTTCAACTCTTGCATCCTTCTACTTTCTGCAAGGCAATTCCTTTCTTTCATTCTAGACAGAGCAGTCGTTTCATTCCATATTTCAACATCCAAGCTCAAACAAGAAACTTCTGCAATATTTTGCAAATAACAATTGGCAACTAGGATCAAACCATATTGGGAAAATATGGAACACAATTTGCCAGTACAGATAGATGGCAAAATATGGATTGTTCCAAATCCATGAGAAAAATCATGATCAGCAAGCATGAAAAGTACCCACAGGATCTGCAGGAGACATTGAAGCTAAACTGCCCTACATGAAAATGGGCATTTTACTGAGAAAACAAAAAGTAAAGCAGTTTATATACTGCAGCTAGCATGTGGCAGATTGGAGTTTTATCCTCTTTTTTTCTTTTCAAGTTACATTATTTTCCTATCTCTGTGAGGCAGCAATGACTAGTTGAAGGTGTGGAGATAGCTATAGCTATATGTATCTATGCATGTACATGTGTACACACACACACACACACACACACACCAAGGAAAAGTTGGAAAACTGTATGGTAGTGACTATGTTTATTGTAATAAGAAAGTTAGCACAAATCTAGCCTAAAATTCAAAAGTACACTAAAAGAAGTCTTGAACATTGCATGGGTTATGATTAAGGCAAGACATCAGTGGTCTGCGAAACTCCCTCTCTTTTTGGGGGGGGGGGGGACTCTTACCACTAAGAGTGAGGTCCACACTTTCGGTGTACATCTGGACCCAGCGCTCACCATAGCAACCCAGGTGGCATCAGTGATCTGTTCTGCACATTTCCACCTTTGGCGGATTGTCCAGCTGCGTCCCTATCTTGATGTGCAGGTGCTCACCACTTTGGTCCATGCGATTGTAGTCTCAAGATTAGACTACTGTAATGTGCTCTACATGGGGCTGCCTTTGAGACTGACGCGGAAATTTCAGATGGTACAAAATGCAACAGCCAGGCTTCTTACTGGGGTGAAATGGTACCAAAATATTTCCCCCACGCTGGCCACCTTGCATTGACTGGCCATTCATTTCCACATTCCTTTCAAAGTTCTTACAATTACACATAAAGCCCTAAATGGTTTAGGACCTCAATATCTGGCACAGTGCATTCTCCCACCCAGTTCTGCCAGTCACCCGTTCCAGGCAGGCTGGGTGGCTGAGGAGCCTAACTCCGAGGGAGGTTCAGAGGGAAAGAACAAGGAACCGGGCCCTCTCGGCAGTGGCCCCTTGCCTTTGGAACAATTTGCCTGTGGAGATCCACCAGGCTCCCTCTCTGGGTGTTTTCAAGAATAGACTTAAAACCTGGCTATTTGGGCAGGCTTTCCCTCCTGCCATGTCTTGATTTCTTATACTTTGCCATTTTGGATCTATAATGTATGTTTTGGTTTTATTGTTTTAAAATTGGTAAGCCACCCAGAGTAGACCTTTGGTCTAGATGGGCGGGATAGAAAACCAATAAATAAATATTATGAGTAGCTGAAAAGACTGGGATGGGGACAGCCTCTCTCAAACATCAAAATACATGCCATTTTGAAAATATCACCCTAGTTCCATATGTTGTGCTAGAAGTCTAAGGAAAGAGGACTGAAATTATTTTGATGTCAATATGGTTTAGTAACAACAGAATTTATTTTTGCACTAAAAACTATTCTCTCAAGGTAAGACTCTCAAATGCATTTTTATGAAATGCAATAAATCTTCCATTTTATTGACAGATAATTTGACTTAGTGGTGATTGATCGAAGGACTATTCTCTACTTTGCTTGTTAATTTACGCATAGTTAAAATCAGACAATTTAAGACAGTCCCCAGCGTTTCAGTTGGCAAACTAAAGTAAAATATGGCACAATATTTAGTACCTGTCGTTTGCTAAATACAATATTTAGTAACTGTCGTTTGCTAAACAGGTTGATGAAGAAATAAAGTGAGGGCGTTCCCTTTTCCATGAAGTTAGGCGTATTGTGATTTCTCATGAAGTTTATTAAGGCCAAGTATCTTGTTCAATATTTATATTTGTCCAGTGGCTCAAGTATGGAAGCTGTCATGGCAATGTGACAACATGGTTGTTTCATGTGACCCGGCACACATTTGGCACCACGACAACTTCTGCAGTTGTTTTACACATATAAATAATGAGTAAGATATTGGCAATGTTATTGCTACAATTTTATTGAGACTGGCAAACTACTCAGAACTACTTTAGTTATCAGAGATGCAATACAGAAAATAACTATATATGTTGCAAAGATGAACTATGCATTGCTGATAGACACATATTAAATGAAGTCTGATGTGAATACCGAAAGAGTGCACACAAGAGTGCATTTCTCAGAGCTGCAGATGGGTGGAGAACAAGAACCATATAAGCAAGCACTACTCTTTGTTTTATGTAACAGAACTAGCAAAGCTATAGATTAATAATTATTCAGCAGTTATCCCTGCTAGAACTAAAGAAGTGGCGTCAGGAACCAGTTTATACACATGTCTGTATATAATTTTTTCCCTCTCACTAATATGAGAAAAAACAGAATCAACTGCCAAGTATAATGTTTTGCTTTCTGTAATTATGTCACCGAAGGCTATCAAATGTAATACAGAGAAGCACTGTTCTGCTTTATATACTCCTAGCCGCTATTTTGTACAACAATTCTAGACTATACAAGGTGTCTTTAGGATGCTGTCAAAAACATGAAGTTATTTTTGGACTGCAACTCCCATGGACTCACAGTTAACATGGGCAATGGCTAGTGCTAGCTGTGAAAGTCTAGAAGTTGTTGTACAGCTCTGAATAAAAGGGAAAAGTAGCCACTAATGGGAACATGTTAAATTCAGAAAACACATGGAACCCTTTCTTCATTCAACGCAGAAACTAACTACCATAATTTCACCACGGGTTTCTCCCAACAAAATATGAACAGAATTTTAGCTTCTATCTTCAACTCTATAGAAAACTTGTTAAAGATCATCATGAGATTGGTCGTGACATTTCCCCAAAGCAGTAATATTCCTAGATACTCATACAATTAAAACCAATTTCAAATATCTAGATTGCATTACTTCTGCTTTTTGGATTGAGTAATTTCTGCTGGAACAACATAACCAAACTGTAATCTAATTATGTTTTTGCCATGTGATGATATCAAGCTTGCTCAAACCATTTTGCTGATTACAACTAAATTTTATTATGAAGGTAACACGTGTCATTTTTAAAATTGCATTTAGCTTTACCTCCACAAAAATAACTGAAAAATATATTTATATATAATTCTAAACATATGAAATTAATAGCTTATTGAACAATATTAAAAATATGAGTCACCAAAATGGCAAACCTTCAAAACCAAGTCTAACGAGTTCTGCTTTGCTGTTATTTATAATGAAAACATGTTCTTAAATTGAAGAAGCCATTAAATACACCATATGCAACACTGACACATTATTCTGTGTGAAAAAGTCCACCAATTTCAATAAGACTGCCTGTCAGCTCTTTATCACAGAACATTTCCATATTTATGTCACACAGAGATGGCCAAAGAATATTTCTTAAGTGGGTGCGGCAGCCAGATGAACTTTTCTTTGCTTCAAAAGATATATTCTACTGTTCTTTGACAACATTGCATTCCCCATTACCAGGAACAGCCACTGAGCTCACTGAGCATTCTCAAGTAAACATGGGCAGAGTATGGCCATCAAGACACTTCCATTAGTGACAGAGTCAAGCTGACAGTTTCAAGTGCATGTACTGTATATTTGGAAAATACACCACAGCAATAACATGTTGTATATTAACTTTTTGTACATTGTATATTTTGGATGTTGTGTATTAAACAAGCATAAAGATGCTCCTGAAGCAATTCAGATGCAATGTAGTTTTATCTTTTGCTAAAAGTTAGCAAATCTCATTAACACAAAGCTCTACACACTAACCATTTTGTGTTTATCACTGACTCAAGAAATGTATCTGCAACAATCGAAACAAACATTAAAAGTTAAAGGAAGTATTGGGGACAACCTATGCAAACTGGTTGTAGGATAAAGTTACTACAGCAATTCCTGAATAGAATATCAGTCCAAAACAGAAAGAAAGAAAGTAAAACAAATGAAGCAAATGTTTACAGAAGAAACACAAGAAGATTACTCTTAAATAGGCATAAAAACTATCTGCAAATGTGCTGGATTAGCACCAAAATTACAAGAAGTGATGGAGGAGAAAATTTTTCTTACACTTAAGAGAGGAGGAAAGGGATGCATATAAGGATGAAAAGAAATGGGAAATGAGATACACATAAGGATGGTATTTATAATGCTAGAATCCCAACCAAGTTGTAATCCACAGAAAGATGTTGTGCATTTCTGCACTGCAGTCATTTCTATTTATTTGCTCAGATCTCCAAGGTTTCAGTTAAACTTATTTATCCCAGTAGCCTACTACATTCACTTGCAAGTATCCCACTAAGCTCAGGATAGAAAACTTCCATGTTTGATCATCTAATAAAGTGTTCAGTTCTCCGGACACTTTTGGACTGCAACTCCAGCGATCCTTCACCAGAAGCTGTGCCAGCTGAGGATGGGGACTGTAAGAGTCATGGTCACTGAAGTCACCCAGCCAATGAATAGCTTTCAGGAGTCTACGTGTATTAATGTAATAATGGCTAAACACCATTTTAAATGTTAAAAAAATGATTATTTGCTGGGGCAATGCATGCCCCACAAGCATGGTGAAGAGAACGGAGTTTTTTAAAAGAGAGACTAAAATGGATCAAGGTCCCAACAAAGACCTGAGCTTCATGGACATGTTAAATGTTGTGCAAAAAGCCATGATTACATGAACTCAGATGGATCCAGGCTTTCATTCATGTTTATCAATTACAAGGCATGCTTAAAGAATAATCAGATCGATCTGCTACAATATCAGAAATAAAGCTAATCGCTACCCTAAATGTCTGTGCTCCTCCCCCTTGCTGTAGATCTGTTCAACAGAGTTTTGTTTTTTACTTAGAGGAACAATGAAATTCAAGTAGATTCCTCCAGGAGTGACAGGCTATCACATATATTAAACTTGGGTATCATACAAGTAAAATGCATAAAACATAAAAGGTTGAACTGCTTAGAAGGCAAGCAGACAAAAGTAAATTACTTATCCTCAGGTAGAACACACCTGGAGGAATTTCATGTCACTGCAATTTGACAATATGAGATTCAGGATACATGGTCAACAGTGTGAATAGTATTTACAATGGCACTGTTGCTTCCTCCTTTCAATCATCATTTCCATGCAGAGCAAACATAAAAATGACAGTACAACATACCTGCAAAACTGGCTTCCTAGTCTTAGCCACTGGTCTAAAAATGATTGATAATTAGATATGGAAAAAATATAGCAGCCTCTTAAGATGCAGACCCCACTACAAGAATACTTAATGCCTTCACTTATTTAACTGACATTTGTTCTCAAAACCCTAGTCTCTCTATAAAATATTTAACAGAAACTAAAAAGAGTCAGATATTCTGCATCATGGATGTCCTTTTTGATAGACTCAAAATGCTTTGAAAGTAGCTTTAAATCAATTTCAGTAATAATCTGAAACAGAAGCTCAATCAACCACTTTGCCTTTATCACACAAAAATGCAGCACAGGTAGAATATTGCAGACCCATGCAATCAGACTCTTGTAATTACAAGCCTAATGTGCCAGCCAAACAGTCATTGATAACAGTAGCAGCTTTGATCTTAAATTTAATTAGATGATTTACTGGGCGATTCAATCTAATAAGGATAACCTATGTAGAGACTGAGAAGTTCAGGCAATGCAGTATTGTGAAAACTTTAAAACCCCTGGAGGCAGGCACAAAACCAGAGATAAGCTGTGCTAATCACCAATGTTGCATGTAAACATAGAATTTGCCTCAGACCTGTTTACTCCTTCAAACCTCATAAGTCAAAGATCCCAGAAACCTAAGCACTGCAATAAAATTTCCACAAACTGCAGTTTTGCAAATGCTACATTATAGCCAGTCTCTCCACAGCATTCAGTTTTAGATACCATATGTCCATCCTGGATTTCTTCCAAGTCTGCTATACCTGTACTTAATTTTTGAAAGATTAAAATGTTTTTAGTGGCATACACACATTTGACTCGCTACTCTGTGTGCTATACAAAACTTTAGTGTACTAATCACAAGTGTGCCTTCCATATTCTTTGTTTATTCTGCAGGCCACTCCACATACTAAATAATTTCTACAACTCAGGTGAATTCAGGCAGAATCTGTTCTCTATACCACTCTCATCTAATCACATACACAGGATTCTCACAGGGTACACACACATTTTGTATTTGTAGTTTTACATGAAAGTGCCTTACATGCAGGCAACATGTGAGATTTTGGGGTTGCTTTTCCAGTATCAGCAAGTCTCAAAAGTTTAACAACACCTCAGTGAATAAACACCCCTATGTTATCTCTATAGCATGTTTAATCACTAGTATATAGAAAATCCCATCCTCATTTCATCAACAAATGAATGCATTTATGTCAGTAAATAAAATATCTGCTATCTTTCTCTAAACTAGTAAAATATTGCACGTGAAAAACTTTCAGTACCACCAATGGATGAGGTGGCAAGTTAAACATTGTAACATAAGCAAATGGTTCAGGGTGAAGTTGCAAAATGTCTTGTTTAACAAGAAAATCACTGACGTAACGACATTTGAAAAGGTGCCCCAGAATTTTTTTGTTTCAAAGGTCTTCTCTGTGTGTCCACACCCTGCAGTTTATTTAAGCCTTTTTATTTGTTTTATTTGAAAAAAAATGAAGGATTTAATTCAGGAAATTACATAAAGTGTAATCTCCTTCCTTGTTGCTCGCCTGTTTTTAGTGATCATTTTGCTTTTAATCACTAAAAGCTCAAGTACTAGGAACAGAAATATCTTCTGACACAGTATACGGCAATTCATTCCACCCACCTTACACATATACCAAAACTGAGAAAGCTCAAGTCAAAGGTCATCTTCCTGCCTTGTACTGACAGGATAGGCTAGAAGTGGCAGACCTAACTGCCACTATGTTCATCTTGACTGTTACTTGTAAATTGGAGAACCTAAAGAGAATAAAATCTCTATGAATTTAGCCCAACACCTGAGTTTGGAATGACATTCTCTGACAGAGGCTGGGTCAACAGGTCTTTTAAAACATTGCTCTTGCTCTGTGTTTTATACAGATATAAACCCTTAGCATACTAGGATGGACACGTGTTTTTCTCCCATCCCCTCTAGAAGTTCCTACTCAGGTCAAATGATGTCTCAACCACAGAACAGCACCCAAGAAGGACAGCAGTGAGAACACGGGTAAGAATAATGGGCAAGGGGCCCTAAAGGTCAATGTCAACATAAGAAAGAGAACAAATGAAGGGTAGGAACTGTATGTGGAGAAACACAAGAGAGAGAGAGAGAGAAAGAGACCCCGAGTCCGATGATGGGAAGGAGGAAGAGCTAATGGCGGGACGGGAGAGTCAGGAGAGTCACCCACCTCTTTGATCTTCTCCCTTTTCTCCCGAATAACGGGGTCCGACGGCTCCACTCCCACGGCTCCGACGGGTTTGCGGAAGGGCAGGTCGGGCAAGCGAGCGCCCGCCGCGTCCCTCCTGCCCAGCTTGTCCTGGAGGAGAAACTTCGCCTTGTCCTGGTGGATGTCCCTGCGGATCTCCTCGGGCAGCTTCTGGAGGGTTTCCTTCGCCTCCCGCAGAGCTCGCTCGTGGTCCTCGCGGATCTTGGCCAGGTTCTCAGCCGCTTCTCCCGCCGCGCCCGCCCCATAATAGCCGATGCTGCTGC